GTACCCTCACTCCTCGCTCCACATCAACCCATTAGCTCAGCAGCCAACACCAATCACTTATCAACCATCTGCACCTCTAACATGCGTTCTCTGTAACAAAATCAAGATCTTCAATCAGTTTCTCACAGATACCAATATTGATGTTGCCTGCTTAACTGAAATGTGGCTAAGCTCTGCTGATAAGCAAGTTATTCTCAAGTCAATAGTAATTACACTTACATAAGCATTGAATGTCAGGAAAAGGTTACATATGGGTCAGGTAGAATTGCTAATACTATTGCATTAATACGATGTACCCATCTTGAAACCCTAGTTGAAATGCAAGCCGCTTGCAACAACTTTTTTATATTAATCTAAACTCTATGCTCAAGACATCTGTTAACCATTGAGAACTATAATGCTTCTTAACCCCAAACCTTGGATAAGGCTGTTTATTCAGAGCCTTACGAAAGAACGTCATCAATTTTATTCTTCTATTCACAATTCTGAGTGGAAAGTACTTGCAAATCGAGTCATCAAACTAATCACCAAAAGAAAACATATTTATAACTGACACTTTTTCTCCGGTAAAACAAATTTTTGGCAAGAAGTTGGATTTGCCAATAAAGGACAAATCACTTATCTCTGAGACATCAGCAAACCAATTGAACAATTATTTCTAAAATGTTTGGAGCGATAAAAAACAACCTAACCTCTTGCTCTTCATTAACAGTCAAGCAGACCTAACTATTACCCCCATTTTTACCATTAATAACATTCTCAACCAAGTCAGCAAACTAAAGACAGGATCATCAGCACCTGACAATCTATCCCCAATTTTACTCAAATCTGCTTGCTTAGAAACTGCCCCATCACTCAATATCCTGTTTAACCATCTAATAAAAAACAATTACATCCCTAATCAATGGAAATCAGCAAACACCATCATAAATGAATCATAATACTTATTCCTAAAATCTCAAACCCGCTATTTTCTAATGACTATTGCCCAATTGCTATTATGTCCGCGTTATGCAAATTTTTTGAACGCATTGTTACTAAATTCATCGTCCATCACAACAAGCACATCTGGGTCTCAAACAGTTCGGTTTCCTTCCAGGCTGTAGTACAATGGACGCTATTATTCAAGTTATAGAGGATTGGAGTCATGCTAAAGATAATAATAAATCAATTTTTGCAATATTTTTCAATTTTACAAAAGCATTTGATCTCGTTGATCATGACAAGTTACTAATAAAGTTAGTGAATATTCTACCTAACTGGTTCACATCTTGGATCGCAAAATACTTATCTAATCTTCGCCACAGAATAAAAATAAGTAATTACACCACTAACTAGAAATATATACAAGCCAGAGTAGTTCAGGGTAATGTTTTTAAACTTAAATTACTTGTTTAGATGAGCAATCTGATGTCACACTGAAATGTACTGTCAGGCTATTTGCCAGTCGATGTATGTACTGAAGCCCCTGGCCTGCTGACGGGGGCTTAGTAAATGACCGGGGTTGATATTTGACCAGGGCCGGGTTTGATAAAATATAGCAGGGGGCCGGGTTTGTGACCGGGGCTGCATAAACATTTATACATTTTAAAGTGTAATTTTTTTATTCAAAATTCATGTTATATTTTGTATATATATATATATGGATAGATAAACATCATTATGATCAACATGATCAACATGATCATCATACTCATCATCATCATTATCATCATCTTCTACTCTTTTGGCAAATACTACACCATATAAATACTAAAGTTTATATAAATATAAAAGGATATTGTATTCCAGCATCTAAATAAATAGCAAACATATCCATAACATGTATGCATAAAGCACATCTCAGAAGCTTTTATTCCTTCTGGACTATAAGTTTATTCCTACTCTTCAAGTCAAACCTCAAGTCAAACCTTCAAGTCAAACCTCATTCTACTTCATATTTTTTGCACTGCAGTAGTTAGTTAATCTAAAGTGGCTCTATTTGTTGACGACTCAACTTCATACTCTTGTCTTGACTGAAAATCTTCACTTTTTAATTGCTTAGAACAAACAGCCAATTTTAAATCTGATCTCTCTTCTGTAATAGCCTAAGGCTTGCTGTGGCTTATGGATTAAAATTTTGGACTTAAAATCCGCAATTTTTGTTAGACAACAAAACTCATTTAATTACTGCAAAAAAATATTGAAATATTGTAGGCAAACCTATACTGAGGAATATAGGTTTGCTTTATCAGGGCTTGCGATGAATCGAGCGCGATCGCGCTCCGCTCGTGAAACGCGCCCGTAAATGGTATTTTGAAACGCTCATGGCGCGATAAACAACGCTCGTTCAGCTTATAACGAGCGTATAAAATAACGCTCGTCCAAGAGTTCGGGGCAAAACAAATAATAACTTTTTTTTTTATTTTCATAAAATATGAAAAAAAGATTTTTTAATAAAGATTTTATATTATCGAAGCACTAATATAATATAAAATAAAAAAAGCACTACGTTGTTCTTTTGTGAACCTAATGAATGAGCAGTTTGAAGTCGTTAATAGGCACTAATTTCATTGATGGAATATGCATGTAGAAATTCAATGCAAATACAAAAATGCACAAATAAAATAATAAAAAATTAGTAAATCATTATAAGAAAATTGAAACTGCAGAATATTTTTAATCTTGTGAATACATCAAGTAAGATTTTTTTGATTTATTGTTTGTAATATTCCATACATCGTTTATAATAAAAATAAATAATAATGATTCAGTAATTTTTTAAATTAGTTTTTGTTTATAGTATAAGTTTTTTATTAACTATTATTTATTTTAACTCAAATTTAAAATGATTCTGTTGTTTAGAATGTCCGCAATCAATGACATTCCAAAAGGAAACAAAGTAATGTTGTCAACATTTATTAAATGGAAAGTTCAAAAGGTAATAGGCTTTAGAACTGAAGTTACCAGATATGAGTGACAAATTAGCTGCATTCAGTTTCGAAAATGTAGAAGAGGAAACACCGTTGACAACAGTTGAGGGAAAAATTTGTTATTTAACCTATAATAATTAGTTTAAAAAAAAAAAGATTTTCAAACTTTCTTGTGTTATTTTTTTAAAATAAAAAAATCGTAATTTAAAAAAGAAATTTTAGAAATAAATTAATTTGAATAAAAAATATCAAGAAATATAAAAAATACATATATCAAAACAACGAAACAAAAAAAGGCACTAAATTATAAAAAAGTCACTAAATTATACTTCAATACTAAATCAACAAGAAGTTGCGTTTTTGTTTGATATATTTTTTTTTATAACATAAATAGTTAAAAAAAAATCCCGATCTGACAATATACAAGAGTGTTAATTCATGAGTGTGATACTAATTATAACATTTGTCGACGAAAGAATGATGTAACAAATAAAAAAAGATCTTCTTCAGCAATTTTCATGATCGCGCTCGTCAACGTTATCTCGAGCGCACATAACCACGCTCAATGAAAACATATTTTAATTTTACAAGCGCGATATAACACGCTTGACAATTTTATTCGTCACAAGCCCTGCTTTATTATCATTTTTTAACTTTAAATTATTTAATAAGCAGTAAGATAAAACAAGTAACTAATTTTTAAAAAAGTCACATCAACTTTTGAATGATGTTTATGTAAAAATATTTGTTACAATAGCTTGAATGACAATCATGTTTGATATAAGCGCTATTTACTAATGAAAAAAACTCAAATAAAATTAAGTTTATTTTTATTTTGTTTTTATTTTATTGAAATGATTGATTTTTTAAGCTTGAAGCAAAGATCATAAAAACAATTTAATTCTGCAAAAAAATATGACTTAATTTAAAACTAATTTAATAAAAATATATAATTAAAATATAATTTAAATATAATTTAGATTTTAAAAACATTTAACTCAATTTTGATTTAAAAAATATATTTAAGTTTATTAACAAGAGTTGATTTAAGCAATCACGAAATGCAAAATCTGGAAAAATATCTGGTCTTCAAAATTTTACTTTATACAAAAACATGTTCTTTGAATCAACTTTAATTTGTTTGCGAAAAAGTTATTAAAAATTAAACAAACTTATAAATACAAAAGTAATAACACTCTAGTGACTAACTGCATTCTAAAAGTAATAACACTTTAATAGTGTTATTACTTTTATAACGCACTTATAACTTTTGTAACTCATTCTTTGTTCAAATAAGATAAGTTCTCCCAAATTGTAATTGAAGCAAAAAAGCATCTAGAAAAATATAGTGGATATCCAAATAATATTAAGTAACTTATAAAAACATAAATGAAACTTTATCAAAACGTAATGTATAAAAAGTTTAGCATTATTAAAAACGTTACTAATGATACGTAAAAACGCGCGTTAATTTTCAAATCAACCAATAAAAAGTTTTACTAGTTGATTTTAAAATCAAACACGCCTTCATACAGACAGACTTTATACAGACAGACTTTAGTGACATTTTTCAAAATGCTTAACTTTTTATTAAGTTGTTTAAGTGATTGGTAAAAATTCCTCAAGCTTTTAATATTTGAATATCCGCTTTATTTTTTCTAGATGGTTTTCTACTTTAATTATTGTTTGGAATTATTAATGTTGCTTGAAGAATGAATTAACTTTAAAAGTAATAAGTGCTTTATAAAAGTAATAACACTATTATACTTTTATTACTTTTATAATGCAGTTAGTGACGAGAGTGTTATTACTTTTGTAGCCGGAAGTTTATTTTTTGTTTTGTTTTTATATTTTTCTTGCTAACAAAATTATAATAATTTGCATTAACTAAAATTTTGAAAATCAAATACTTTTCCAGGGTTTGCAAATCGTGATCGCTAGATTCACCTCTTGATATATATATATATATATATATATATATATATATATATATATATATATATATATATATATATATATATATATATATATATATATATATATATATATATATATATATAAATACTTATGATTTATGAAAAACTATACCTTGTAACATCAGGAAGCCATTGCACAGTTAGACTAGGCCATTCTAAGGCATGCGTCATAACAAGGTCATATAAAAAAGGAGTATTTTTTTTCCATATTTTGTACTCTTCATTTATGATTCTCTCCTCAGCAGCATCATCATAAACATCTAAAAATTTGTTAAAAATATTTTAATTTTCTTGGTAAATCTGATCAAATTATTCAATTAAAGTTTCAAAAATTTATTCAATTTTTTATATTTCACTTTAAATAATGATAATAACCACATCAAACTATTTTCTAAATTTTAAAATCTAGAAACAATTTAAATATTCATTATTTCTTAAAATCGCAGCTTATTGCTTAATAATGATTTTTTTACTTTTAAAAAGTTATTAACAAACAAAAAATAAGAAAAGTTGCAAAAAAAAAAAACTTTAAAAAGTTAATTACTTTACTAGTGCTTTTTTTTTGTGACAAAGATTTATGTTTCCAAGTATAATTTATTAAATGTACCGTTGAATAATATCATTTATTAGTGTAATTTATTAAAGAATAATACCGTTGCGCTTTTACTTGCCTAAAGACATAATAGTTAAATGTATGCTTTATGAATATTTTTGATACAGTTGCAAGTTAAAATATATTTACAAGAAATTTAGTTTTTTTTTTTTTTTTTTTTTTTTCAATTTCTTTTTTAGGCGCCTATAACATCTTTTTTTTTCTTTTACTGAACATTTTTAATGAAAAAATTAGGTTAGTAAAAATAAAATCTTCTTTGTTTTTTCTTAGTTATTGCATTTGTTTTTGTTTTTGTTTTTTTGTTATTCCACCTCCCCATAAAAATCATTTTAAAAATAAACTATTGTTAAAAAGTTCCTGCAGAATAGCTTTTTGGAACATCAGATTGGTCTTCAATGTCAATAAGTCATTTTTTAATAGCTCTTATGGTTTTTCTGAGTTGTTTTGCATCACTAGTTGATTTTTTGTGTAAAACTTTAACTCTGTGATATGAAAGTTTAAAAAAAGGCTGACTACATAAAACTCCATATTGGTTGGAGACTGACTTTATTTTAAAAGACCCCTCATTAAACTCTAGTATTGCTGAATAAACACCAAGCTCTAATATGGTTCTACTGACAAAAATATGTTTTGGACATTTGTTCCGAATTATATTATTGAGCGTCTTATTTGAATTTTAAGTTTAAAAGTGTAAACAACTTCTTGTATTTGCACCAACTTGTACTACTTGTTGGATAAAACTGGTACTCATCATCGTCAAATCCATTGCAATCCCATAATATTGCCAAAATCAACTTTTTCATACTGTAGATTGCATTTTTATTGCTTCATATGGCCACTCCATAGTTTAAAATTTTATTTGACCTTTAACTTTATTGATATCAAAACATTCACTGGATATTATTGATATCAAAATATTCTTTGGATATATAAGTTTCTTTATTATATTTGCATGCTTGACATGTCTAGCATAACTTATGCACATATACTTGTCAAGACATGTCAAGCATAACTTATGCACATATACACATATACAAGATGAAAGCTGGTCAACCAAAGTAAGATCAATTGAGCTACATACAGACAACATAAATAGTCATTAATAAAAAAGTTTAAAGTTCATAAAAATATTCTCATTATCATAGGAAAAACTTGATTGCAATCAGGATTTAATTTTAGCTTCTTGGAGGCTATTTAATTGAGGATTGTTATCCTTTTCAGAAAGGATAACAATCCTTAATTTAACTTCTTTTTATAAAATACATTGCAGTGTTTCTTTCTTTGTGATAGATTTTTACTTTTTCCCATTTATTTACTTTACAATATAAAAATTAAGACTTTGAAATATGAAAAACAATATAACTATAACTTTAATAACAAAACTGCAACTTCACTTTTATAAAAAAAACTATTTAACAACATTTTTATGTTGATATAGCCCAGTCACTAAGGTGTTGCTAAGGACTCATTTGTATATGTACCTACTCAAAAGATTAACTATTCAAATTATATACAAAAAAAGATATGATTTTTTCAAAAAAACTGTAAAAGAATAAAATTTTCTAATAGATAAGACGATAAGACTTTTTTTTTAATTTTTTTATTCACTTTTTTTTGGTGATGAACCATCTTAACTATTTTTATAATGCTAATTTAATAAATTACCACAAAGTGAGTTCAATTGAAAATTTAACTCTAGGTAAATTTATTTTGGAATGCTTTTTTTAATATTAAATAAATAAATTGAATATTACATTTTTTTAAATATTTAATATAAATCAACCCTCAGTATAAGCAGGTCAGCAATAAATTGCTTCAAACATTAAAAAGTAACCAAAAATTTTTTAAACATTAAAAAGTAACCATAACTGCTAAAAAAAAGCTTTTTTTTATAGCAGTTATCGTTACTTTTAAATGTTTGAAAAAATAATGACCTAAATATTTTAGTTGCTAATTTTTTGAAAGCTAATAAATAAGCTAAAATGTAATAAAAATAATAAAATAGGAAATTTTGCAAATGATAAAAAACTAAATTTATAAATACTCTCACTCAAAATGTGAGTGAATGATAAAATAAAAGTATGACACATCTTTTTCAGCTAAGAAATCAAATGCACTAATTATTACATTAAAAAAATCTGCATCTTTAAAACTTAGTGAACACACAGCAGAATATATTTGCTATAGCTATACTTGTTTGGTTATCTTAATTCATGGTTGATATTTTTTTATAAAAGTATTTTATGGAAAAATATGCTTCGTCATAAAAAATACTTTTTGTTAAAACTATTTTATTTTTACTGATATGTATATAGATATGTTTACTGATATACCATTTTTAAATAGATATTTTATATTTTTCTCTAGCTATATATTATATTTAAGCATATTTGTTTGTTTTTATATTAGGATGATAGATTTGTTTTTGTAATTAACTTGTAAGGAAATTAAATTGTAAAAAATGTCCTACTTTTTTTAGAATTGTAAGCAATAAATCAAGTAGTACACAAAATGCAAAAAAAAAACAAGCAATTTTAAATAAGAATTATATAAAAATCTATTTAAAATTATAACACTTCAAAATTATTTTTAGTTTTATCTAGTAAACAAAACCAAACTCTTAAAACCCTTGTAAAACTGGTCATAAAATAATTAAAAATTGATGACTTTTCCAATTATATAATATTTAATATATTTATATATTAATATTTAATATATATATAATATATATATATATATATATATATATATATATATATATATATATATATATATATATATATATATATATATATATTAGGGTGTCCCAAAACACAACATTTTTGAAAACAATCTGCTCTCACCCCCTAAATAATCATTCGAATCATTTTAACTTATTTATCAAAATTATCATAAAAAAACATTAGAAATGCATTTTTTTCATTTTTTCTTAAAAAATGCAATTTCTTATGTAATAAAACTAAAACTAACAATTTTGTTTCGAAATGAATAATATTTTTAAAATTTTTATATAATTTCGCTTAATTTGAGTGCCAGGTTGATATATTTTTGAAAAACTTTTTTTTCGAAAATATTAGGAACCCATTAAATATTCGAGGGTCTTGAGGAACCCCTTAAAATATTTTTTATTCAAAAAAAATTTAAACTTAGTGTTTTTGCATTAGATAGAACACATTTAGGGGGTGAGAGCAGATTATTTTCAAAAATGTTGTTTTTTGGGACACCCTAATATATATATATATATATATATATATATATATATATATATATATATATATATATATATATATATATATATATATATATATACATATATATATATACATATATATATATATACATATATATATATATACATATATATATATACATATATATATATATACATATATATATATACATATATATATATATACATATATATATATACATATATATATATATATATATATATATATATATATATATATATATATATATATATATATATATATATATATATATATATATATATATATATATATATATATATATATATATATATATATATATATATATATATATATATATATATATAAATTAGGGTGGGTCAAAAAAAAAATTTTTCTTGTTACAGGCTCTAAACATTGCTAATAGTTATTAATATTGATACTATCAAATATGAGAATGATTGTGATAGATTTAAAGGGCGCAACTTTATTGGGAAAATTACCGGTACCCTAATATTTTGGAGAAAAAAAGTAAAAATGTAAAAATGCACATTTTTCACTTTTAGTTAAAAAAACTATAGTTATTATGAAACAAAACCTAAAATAATAATTTTTATATGAAAAAATTATTATTTTTGAAATTTTTATAAAACTTAGCTTTATTTGAGTACCTACATCACATAATTTTGAAAAACCTTTTTTTTGAATAATAATAGGGCCTGCTAAATTTTGTAATTATAGTTGCGGGTGGAAGAAATTGTTCAATTCATAAAATTAAATACTTTCCTAAATTAGTACATAAAAAAACAACTTTCTAGACCATAGCCAGGTTAGCAACTCTAAAAAAAAATTTTATGACCCACCCTAATATATATATATATATATATATATATATATATATATATATATATATATATATATATATATATATATATATATATATATATATATATATATATATATATATATATATATATACCCATATAGGGTAGTCGAAAGAGCGTTTTAATGTAAAAAAAGTCTCTTACGACTACAATTTTAATTACCACATCTCTTAAGCTGTTTTTGATTGTCATCGAAATGTCAAACCAATTAATTTATGCGGAAGTACATTAAATTTAATTGTTTTTTAAAAAATTTTTAAAAAACCGCAATTATAACGACTAGAAAGTTTTTTTTAATTAGTGGTGTTTTTGTTATTGATTTAATAAAAAACATTTTTAAAATGCGTAAATGTTGCTACATCGACTATCTTATAGCCTGACTCGCAACGGAGTGCTGCTACATCGACTGACAAATAGCCTGACTTGCAACGGAGTGCTGCTACATCGACTGACAAATAGCCTGACTCGCAACGGAGTGCTGCTACATCGACTGACAAATAGCCTGACTCGCAAGGGAATGCTGCTACATCGACTGACAAATAGCCTGACTCGCAAGGGAGTGCTGCTACAACGACTGACAAATAGCCTGACTCGCAAGAGAGTGCTGCTACATCGATTGAGGGTTTGGTTTGGCCAGGCAGTCTATCAATTAAAAAAAAAAATTTAATTTTTAAAACTTTTTCTGGTCTGGTTTATTATCGTGCTCTTTAAAATTTAAATCTATCACAATCATTCCGAATATTTAAAAATGGCATCAAAGCAAACATATAAATGCAAATTTAATTCAACATGGTGCCAAGATTACCCTGTTAGGGTAATATTTACCAATTTTACTGTGTTCCGTGTGTTAAAAAACTAACTTGTCATCATCAAGGAGTTAAAGATGTATCTGATAATTGCGAAAAAAACAGTCACAAAGCAAATGTTTTTGCATTAAAAAAGCAAACTTCTTTAAATAACTTTTTAAAAACTGACACAACATTAGATAATCAAGTAATTAATGCTGAGATCATGGTAAAAATTTTTTGGTTCAGCACATTTTTTTAGTCACCTCAGCAACGCTTTTTACCATATTTCAAAAATGGTTATTCCCAACACTTTAGTTAAACGTTTTAAACTGCTACCAAAATTAGCTGAAATTGTTCTCATTATTCCCCACAGTAACGCTGAGTTAGGACGATTGTTTAGTATTGTAAAAAAAAAAAAATGTCTTGAGAGATCAGCATTAGTGTCGGATGGGACATTATCAAGTATTTTAGCTATGAAAATAATGTTTCCCAAGGCTACTATACCGTGTTTTCAATAAAAACGATCTGAACAGCTGTTAAAAACATCAAAAAGAGCAACAAAAATGTACAATGCTAAACATAATGAATAAATATTATTTATTTATTTATAAAATGTAACTTTTCATTCTATTTCAATTTTTCTTGTTTGAAAAAAAACATTTTTTTTTTTAATTTTACGCTTCTCAAAGTTTTTGTGTAAATCTCAAGGTTTTTTTAAATGAATCTCAAGGTTTTAAAAAAAAAGGTTGGAAGGTCTGATAGCATCACACTCCCTTGATAGTCGCTCTATGTACTGAAGCCAATAAATATTCTGAAGCCAATAAATATACTGAAGATAGTCACTCTATGTAATGAAGCCAAAAAATATTCCTCATTTAAATAAGTCTCCAGTGATGAGAGCGCAACAAACAAAAAAATAAAATTATTTTAGGCCGCTCAACTGTAGCTTTACCGAAAATAAGTTTATTTATTTTTATTCATATTGTTATAGACTTTAAACTTTATTTTCGAAAAAAAGTTTAAGTTATATAAAAGCTAATTTTTTTTTTGTTTGTTTTAGTTATATTTGTTAGTTTATTTTTTGATGAAGTAATATTGTATAAACATTTGTAAATGAAAAACTACAGTTTAAAAAAAAAAAAAATTATGAAAATTTATGGTAAAACTAATCTTTGTTTAAAACACTTTATTATTTGGTTTTTTTTAAATAACTATCTAATATATCTTAGATTAAAACTCGATTTTTTACAAAAAAGAAAAAGAACTCAACAAAAAAAAAATTTGATTTTATATATATTATAGAAATTACAACGAACGATATGAAGATCACATCAAATTTAATTGAAAATCAAGTGTAAAGTTTTTTGTTGTTGTTGTTTTTGATTATTCAGTTAGTATACTTTGAATAAAACTTGAAAAAAAAATTTTATACAATAATTAAAACTTAAATAAATTTTTAATTAAAACTTGTACTAGTATGTAACATATTTAACATACCTGGTACGTTTGGAGCACTTAAAGCAGCCATATAAGGTTATTTAGTTGCAGGTTATGAGACTTTTTGTTGACACCTAATTCCTGATGGCGGGAAAATGCTAGCCTCAGCGTGATGAGTTTAATGGTGTCCGTGAAAACCGCATTCATCAACACTACTCATCATTTACTCCGGTTTAAACTCTAAACTCCGGTTTAAACTTAAAGCACGAGAAAAAAAAATGGCGTGCTTATTCATTATTTAATATATTTATTTATTTTTTAACCTTGAAAGCCACCAAATCAAAATTTAATGACAACTTTTTATTATAATTTCATTAAAAAAGTCTAAAAAATGTTTTTTGATACTAATTTTTGTACTGGCATTTTAGTTCTTAAGCAAAACTGCTATCGCCTTTTTAACATTTTTAATAAAAAAAACTATTAACCCCAAAAGAGAACTTAAAGCAAGAAATTGCCGAAAAATGTTTCTATATTTATTTTAGGCTTACATTAGATTTCATAGATAAGTTTTTTTTTAATGAAATTATCAAAATTGACTCTTTTATTCTGGCTTAAATGTTAGATATACACTTTTTTTAATTTTTTTTATTGCAACGTAATGAATGACATTTTTGTTTTTTGACGCTTTATTCTATACTTAATAAAGCTCCAAATTGTATCTTTTTAGAAAGAATTGAAGACATTCTTTTAATATTTTTTTGACTGCATTAAATCTTGAAAAAAGCAGCAATAAGCTTTTTACCTTCAAACTAATTTTTTCACTTTCAACCATTCAGTCATTGAATGACAGGTTGAAAGTGAAAAAATGAATAGCAACATTGTGAAAAAATGATAGCAAACATTGTGTAAAAGATGCCTACATTGGTTTACAATTGAATTTTCTTCCATGTTTTAATGACTTTTAAATGACTTTTAAAGTTTGTCTGATTGGTTAGTAGTTTCAAACAGCAATATCTACTTAGCAACAAGGGTTGCTTGAACTATACTATTAAATGATTTAATAGCTAATTTAATATTATTAATTATCGAATACTTTAGTAATAGGAAAATCTATAATTTGTTTGCTCATATATCTGAATCTACACTTTGTTTGCTCATTTATTTAATATATTTATAAAGATCTTTAGACTTTTTAAATGCTTCAAACTTTGCTTTTAAATTTTTTAGTACTTCATTTGGAACTTTTATTATAACTGTCTAAACATTTTCTTGTGCATTTTTAACAGTGCATAGATTTGGATGTGCTATTTCTCAACCAATTGATTGGCAACAGCTCTGACACACATTAACTGAGCAGCAGGCGGTAAAATATTTTTTTTGCAATTTTTTCCAAATTGAAAAAGATCATTTGTTTTAGTTTTATTGAAATAAGCAACTTTACTGATAAGGCAACAGCATGTTGATTATTTTTACAGCTCCAAAAAGTACAGGCAACATTTTTTTTTGAAACTGTGAATATAAATTTGGATCAAAAGTGTCGGGTAGATTAAATTTTATTTTCCCCCTATTTTTAAACTTTGTTCTTGTACAAAATTGCAGAAAGCTTTTTATTTATTATTATTCTTAATATATTTTCAAACTTTTGTATTGAATTTCTTTTAAATAGCTCCATATCTAAACCGTTTTGCAAGCATAACAAACATACTTTGACACATACTCATAGTGTAACAGAGTTTTTATTTTTTCAGTGTGTTAAGAGTTTCTTTATTGTGATGCAGTTCAAGATTTACGTGTAAATGTAAAACGTAAACTTTAAAAACAAAATTAAAAACACTCTTGATTGCAATTCAAGAAAACTACTTTACATCAAAGTTACTACAATTACGATAAATTTTTGGATTAAGTCGTGTATCAAGCATTGTTTACTTTAACTTTAAGTGAAGCAGCATAACCAAAAAGTAAATACTTTTGCTTAGATTCATCTAAACAAAAAACTAAAATTTAAGTATCGGATAAAAATTTCAGTTTTTTAACCATAACAATAGAAGTTTTTATTCTTTTCTCTTTTTTCCATATTTTTCTCTTGGTTCAAATCATATATTGCTAACACTACTAAGCAGGCACAGAGACGTCTATTAACCGTTATTTTAGTGTTTCAGGCAGACATCTTGAGACATTTATTATAAATTTGAGACATCTAAAAGGCGCATTGAATACGTTCACATTTTAAATTGTCTATTTTTAGATATCTGTTGGTCTCAGATAAGATGACTAATTTTTATGCAAATTCTTGAGACGTATGATAAAAAAATCATAAAAATGAGACATCTGACGTTTTAAAGACAATCAGATACTAAACGTTACTTTTAAAGACACCAGTTAATGCGTCTAATTTTTATACATTTTTTACATATTTTTTTAACATAGAGGTTCATTAAAAGAAAAAAAATATTGTTAAAAGTTTGGAAAATATTTAATTCTAAAATTGAGTGCAATATATATGTGACAATATGTTGTGACGACGGCGAGTAGGTCAAAAACGGTCGAGAATTGCGTGGCGTAATTTATGGATGACTCCTTAGTGTAATACAAGCTTTTTTTTAATAAACGTATGTAATCGATGAAACAGGCTCGGGTATGCTTAAACATATGTTTAAAAATATGTGTTTAAAAAGATCAGAAATGAGCCTAAACTTACAAAAAGTGTTGATTCTTGTAAGACTTGCAAGCGATAAAAAACAATTTCTTCTGATCTGACACATACAGGTTTTTGTTTTACAACACAATACTTTAATTGAATTGTTTATATACATCTTCAATAATTCTAATACCCAGAATACATCAGTAATACCCAGATAGCACAGCCACTTTGGGCCAACATTATAACAACATCAGGATTTGATCGACTGTTCATCGCCAACTGACGTTGGCAAAGCGCTAACTTGAAAAGCTCAACTATCGTTTAAACATTGATGAAACGTATTTTGAAAACATCGGATTATCGTTGCGTTAATGCTAACCCGACGTTTCATATTAGTTTACCTAACATTCTAACAGTAACAGTTAATGTAAGAAAAAATAAAACATACACTTAGCTAAAAACGAGGACTTGAATAGATTTTTTAAAGTCACTAATAAAATAGAAAAATTGAGTAAATAGTTTCAATGAACTAAATAATATTAAACTTAATTTAACTTACAATGAGCAATAAATATTTGAGTAAATAATGTTTATTTTTGCTGTTTATTAACTAAATATTATTAAACTTAATTCAACTTACAAATATTTTATAATAAATAAGAAAAACTTTTTCATACAATCAAATGAAACTAAAAACATTTTTTTTTGTAATTTCATTAAAAACATTGATTAAAAATTATAATGCATTTCAAATAGAGTAAAATGGGGTCAAATGAAATAGTTAAGGATTTTAATTATTAATTTTTTACGGAAAAAAGATTTTTCCTTTTAGTTTTTTTAAGTTTTAGAGACTATTGAGCTGTATTTAAATATATAAAATTTTAACAATTTTTTTGTAAAGTTTATTATGAAACTTTATTTGATTAAAAAAAAAATTATTCCATTCTACACTGACATTCGGGGAGAATGAAATACGCAAATATAAGTGTAATTAAAACACTTTATCAAAAAAATAAAAAAGCAATTAATAATAACAATTAAATAAACAATCAATAATAACAATTAAAAAAATCAATCAAATAAAATAAACTTTTTTATTCTTGTGATGATGTTGAGCCGTTTAGATTGAGTTTTTACTTGTGCGGCACTTTTTGTGAAACTCAGGGCCTTTTACGTATCGCTTTGGTATGCATGTTTGACATAGCCAAACCTTGCAATTTGAATTTTCACACTGGTACCATTCCATAATTTGACTTTTGGCAATTTTTACACTTTAATTGGTTTGCAGCTAATATTTTCGTTGGACTTGTTGCTTGGTTTATTTGCCGTTTTTTAGCTTGCTTTGCTGCTTTTTTGCTCTCAGCATCTCTCTACCTTTCAAGTATTTCAGGTTTGTTGAGACACTCACCTTCGAATCTTGGCACATCTACATTTTTTCTTTTTTGTGTGTCAAAGTGTTGGATACGAAACATTTGTTGCAAAGCTGATCCAAGTGATTGGGCGAAACTTTAATAAATTTAATTAAAAGCGAAAGAATAAACATTGACATAACTATTTCGTTCTACCCGCTATTTCATTTTACCCTGTTTTACTTTATAACATATTCGACAGCTTATTGTCATAATTAACTTCATAATTTAACATATAATTTTCACGACAAATTTCATTTTAAAATACTCCACAAAATAGTATAACTATATACTATATGACTTTACAACATAAATACAAACTATTAAACTAAAAGTAAAACCAAATTTTAAAATACTTAAAACTTTTTTGATTAGCTGTAGCACTAAAAATATAAATAAAAATTAAAATATTGATAAATAATATTAAACATTTTAAACAAAAACTTTCGTTAAAATATAAAAAAGCCTTTATAAAGTAAAATAAACCTTTTAATTCTAACCTGTATTCATTCAAATATCACCACCAGACGATAACACTAAATAATTAGATTCACACAAACCATCTTTGACCATTTAACATAAATTTATATGAAGTCAATAAAAAAAAATGACTAACTTATATTAAAAATGAGGTCTTTGTCAGCTTTTAACCTTTAAACTAAAACAACTTGTTATGATACAATACACCATCAACAAAATAGAACATGTTTCATTACCTATCATTATAAAAGGTCATAACATTCTAAAAATTAATAATTCTAAAAACAGACTAAAAAAATAACAAGACATATACTATAAATAAACTTTTAAATTTATGATAATAAAAGCTTTAAAGTTATTTTGAAGATTTATAAATATAATAATGGAAATTCAGATTTAAAAACTAGTACAAGCTTATTGACAATGCCGCATGTATTTTTAGGTTTAAAAGCCTCAGTTGACTCATAAAGCATTGTGCAGAGTGTATACTATTTATAATTTGTGAATAGTATTTTTATAATTTTCTCAATTCTGTCAGCGCTACACATTTGTTTCATAAATATATCCTAAAAGGAAAGTTGAGAGATGTTTTAAACTTCTTTACTAGGGGTTTTCCACCATCTCAATTTAATTAACAGAGACTGATCCAGCATTTTTTGGTCTTAGAGATTGCTAATTTCCAGACATGGAGCAAACTTCAAATATTTATGTCTATACTTATATCAAATAAGGATGCATTGCAAAAAATTGCAATGATTGAAGCCCGGTAACAGAAAAAATCCAAAATATTTGTCCGCCCTCTACCCCCTCCTCGCCCAAAACGTGAGATCCACAAGTTAATAAAATATTTTTTGTACTATTCTCAACTAGATTTATATTAATCGATAAACTTTAAGTTTCATAGTATAATCTCTCAGCGTTTAAAAATTATGAATTTGCAACCCCCTTAAAATGAGGGGTTTCAAACTTTCATTGGCCATATATATATATATATATATATATATATATATATATATATATATATATATATATATATATATATATATATATATATATATATATATATATATATATATATATATATATATATATATATATATATATATATATATATATATATATATATATATATATATATATATATATATATATATATATATATATCTTATAAACACAAATATAATATATATAACACAAAATAGGAGAAAATTATAAATACCAATTTTAAAAAAGTACTAATTTTTTATATTTATAGATGGCTTAAACATCCAAACAATTTATATGAAGTAATTGACCAAAAAAAGGGATCAATATTATTATGCGGCACCATAAAATACCTAATGGCTAAATAATAAGGCAAAAGGACTGATGATTCACAATAACCTCAAAAAAGCATGATGCAAAAAGCATGTAAATTTCGCACCTAGAAAATCATCTCTTATTAATATTTCGCTTTTTAATCAATTTTTATTAAATATCACCTCGAATGACACAAAAGAAATTCTGAAAAAATTCTGAAAAAAATTAATAATATTGGAGAAAAATCTATTAAATAGTCCGACAAATTGCTTTTTTTTCGAAACGTCGTTATTTTTTGGCAACTTTGTTTTGCTCTAACTTGTCGCGCTAGTCTAACTGATTTTTATTATATAAGGAGAATAGCAAATCTTTTTTTTTTCAAAGTCTAAATAAAAATACTTTTATAATTATATTTTTTTATTTATGTTAATTTATACATCAACTAAAAAAAGAATACACAAGCAAATAAAAAAAAAAGTAGTATAAATAATTTTAAATAAACATTAAAAAAGTATTAAAAGATATTTTTTAAATTCTCCTAATACAGTTAAAACTAAGGTCTTACCAACGCGTTAGTATTTTTTTTAAATATGTTTATCGCGTAACTTGGAATAGTTTAAAATATTTAATAATGTGAAATTAGTTTTTTGATTACTAAACGTTAAATGGCAAAATATATATGCTCGACATTTGTATTGTGCTTGCTGTAATGTTCGTTTAGAACTAAAACAGCTCAGTGAAGTTAGTTCTGATGAACAACAAATAAAACAGCTCTGTGAAGTTAGTTCTGATGAACAACAACTAAAACAGCTCAGTGAAGTTAGTTCTGATGAACAACAACTAAAACAGCTCAGTGAAGTTAGTTCTGATGAACAACAACTAAAACAGCTCAGTGAAGTTAGTTCTGATGAACAACAACTAAAACAGCTCTGTGAAGTTAGTTCTGATGAACAACAACTAAAACAGCTCAGTGAAGTTAGTTTTGATGAACAACAACTAAAACAGCTCAGTGAAGTTAGTTCTGATGAACAACAACTAAAACAGCTCAGTGAAGTTAGTTTTGATGAACAACAACTAAAACAGCTCAGTGAAGTTAGTTCTGATGAACAACAACTAAAACAGCTCAGTGAAATTCTGATGAAAATATTGATAGTTTAAATGAAATCCGAGAGGAAGAACTGAGTTCTTCCTTTGAGATTAAGAAAAATGATAAAATCTGTAAGAAGTGCCAAAACGTATCACAACGAAATAAAAAAAATAAAATAAAAAAGCAAAAATGAAGAATTTATAAACGATAACTCAGCTAAAACCTGAAATCCCTATAACGCATTTTCATTTCCAGTAAGCTATTTATCAGTATTTTCTGCTGAAAATGTGTACTAGACAAAACAAGATAATTTTTTTTGTATGTATTTAGGTGCTCCCAAGAAGTCCTTACGGTCTTATTATAAAGCACCGCGGGAGAGCATTTAACAGGAAGTTCACGCCTCCTTCCGTAACCAATGTCGCTTGTTAGGCTAGAGCTGGTGTTGAACCTCGGGGTTCTGAGCCAGAACTCTAACCACTGCGCCATGGCTGCTCTTAAATAATAATTCTAGAGTTTCAAATTCACAAGTTGTTTTAAAAAACAACTGACAAAAAACGCAATCTTGATGATGAATCATTATTTGTAGATTTTTTTTGTACTCTTTTATCTCACAAAAGCTGTCTTGTTTGTGGAAAGAAAAACTTATACAAAAAGTTTAGAAACATTTCTAATGAAGTGATTGTTGACGTCTATATAGAAAAAAATTTATTGATTTCACCTGGTTCGAGGTGTTGCAGCATTCATCTATATCAATCTTCAAAATCTATTAATCAAATAAAGTATGGAGATGTTATCAATTGGTAAAGTTAATATAAAACTCAAAAAAAAGGAGGATAGAAATATTTTCAAAACAATTCGTAATTTTGTACTTCGAAATTCGCTTTTTTACCATTTCATGGATAAAACAACTTCGATTAAGTATAAATGTCTTAGAATAACTGGATTTACAAGAGAACAATTTATTGAAATAAGCGAATCACTTGATACAATGAGAAATTCAATCCAGCGCTCTAAATCCCAGGTTTCGGCAATATATCTATTCTGGGTCAAAACTGGGTTGGATCAGTTGACAATATCAATGTTTTTTAACTTGGATCCTGAATTTGATATAAGCCGGTTAGTTCAGCAAGTCAGAGAGTCACTTACCATTAATTTTGTTCCAAATAATCTAAGCGTGAATCATATCCAAAGAAATAAATTGTTAAAAAACAATAGCCTTATAGCTAAAGAGATTTTTGAAACAAGTGATGATCAATTGATATTAATAGCAGATGGAACTTACTGCTATTGTCAAAAGAGTAGAAATAACGTTTTTCAGCGTAAAACATACAGTGTGCAAAAAAAAGAAACACTTGGTATAGCCATTCGTGCTATGTACTTCTAACAGATATATCTTAGATGTTTATGACCTTTTCGAAGCAACTAAAAATGGCGCGACAATGTTAAGTGAGATTCTAATCAAGGACCAAAGCTTATGTTCTTTGGTCGTCGTTTGGTCATAAGTTTTATGTTAGCTTATGACCAAACGACGTCATTATATTGGATTGTGGATTCCGTGATTGTATTGAAGAGCTTAAGAAAGATTATAAACTTGATCCAAAAATACTAGCTTGTCTTAGAAAAGTTAGAAACAGTTAACAACTTTGGAAGCGAACCAATCACGATTTATTACAGAGACTCAATGGATTATTGAAGTTATCAATAGCTTTCTTGAGCAATTGTTTCGAACCTTGGATAAGGTTCGCAACATAAGCCTCGTTCATACGCTAGATTATTATTATTATTATTATTATTATATTTTCTTTGCCGTATAATTAAATTTACAATGAGAAAAAACCATTCATGTATAAAAATTGGCCGGAGCAAGAAGAAGACATAAACTGTCTTATCGCCAAGCCCCGTTTACATTAACGTCACAAAGTTACAAGTTAAAAACTAAAAGGTTAAAAATTGAAGTACAATACAATATTAGTTCGACAGATATAAGACACAAGTAATAAATCGAATAAATGTTATTTGTCTGTTCAAAATTAATAGTATATATATTTTTTATTTTAATAAGAAATAAACAAGATACACAAGACAATAGTAAATGAGTAGTGATGACTTTTTCAGGTTTAATTATTTTAGGTGATTTTAGAAGAAATCTTTAAAATCGAAAGTTTTTTCTAATAGAAAACGTTTAGATTCTCTTTTGAATTGTTCTAAGGAGATGCCTCGAAGAATTTTATTTTTAATTATATTTTTTAAAAAACCTTTCCATATAAATGGTATTGAATTTGAAATGAATTGAGTTTTAAATAAGATCTTGGAATAACAAAATTATCATATGAAAATTTAGTGGGATATTTATGAGATATTTCGGTAAAGTAAGACTGAAATATATTAGGAGTTTTGTTTTAAACGTAAATAGCATAACTTGGTATACATTAAGTTTGTAAATATTAAGCACATTAAGTTTCTTTAAAAGAGATTCACCATTAACAGTTCTGTTAACGCCAAAAATAATCCTACAAGCATGTTTTTGTTTGCTATAAATTTTTTTGAGCTTCCCATAATTGGTACTTGCCCATGCAAGATTACAATTGGAAAGATAACTATGAATAAATGAGAAATATATAATTTTTAAAGATTCTGTATTAAGAAAAGGTTTAACTTTATATAGCATTGAAATATTTTTGGAGATTTTATTTTCAATAGATCTAATATGATATTTCCATGATATATTTTCATCTAATATCACTCCTAGAAAGTTAATAGTTGACTCTCTTTTAATAACTTTTTTGTTCATAAAGAGATCAGGTAGTTTTAAAAAAAGGTTATCACCTTTACTAGGTTTGTGGAACAACATAAATTTAGTTTTCCCAACATTTAATGAAAGTTTATTATTCGTAATCCATTCATTTATTTTTAATAACTCTTCATTAAAAATTCTAAACAGATCTTTAATATTTCTGTTAGAGTAAAAAAGATTTGAGTCATCAGCAAACAAAATAACGTTTAGAATTTTGGATGTTAAATACAAATCATTAATGAACAGTATGAATAATAAGGGCCCTAAGATTGATTCCTGGGGAACACCACAAGTTATGATATGTTTTTTTTCTTCATTTTCTGTATATATTATGTATTGTTTCCTGTTTGAAAGGTAACTTTTAAACCATTGTAAGTTATTGTTTAATACTCCATACATTTCTAGTTTTTTTATTAGAATATCATGATTAACAGTGTCAAATGCTTTTGACAAATCAATAAAAACTCCTAATGTATAGCAATCATTATTGAACCCATTGGATACATAATTTATTAGATCGACTACTGCATGGTCCGTTGAATGATTTTTTTTAAACCCAAATTGTTTATTATACAGAATATTGTTTTCAGTTAAATAGTTGTTAAGTCTATCATACATAATTCGTTCTAACAATTTAGAGAAACATGGTAAGACAGAAATAGGTCTATAATTGGACATATTTGTATCATCGCCATTTTTAAAAATAGGTATAATCTTAGCAATCTTTAATTTCTCCGGTACAATACCGGATTTTAAAGAAAGATTAAAAATGTGAAACAGTGATGGTTCAATAATATCAAACACAGCTTTAACTACATTTACGCTAATTTTATCAATGCCCGCACATTTATTATTTTTTAGACAGTTGAAAGCATTGCGCATCTCACTTAAGGGGCTATCCCCCCATAAAATTACAAAATTTTCAATTTTTTTTTTTTTTTAATTTTAACTCTTTCAAACTATGCAGAATCATAAAATTTATTTTGGATGTATCAGATTAATCTTTAACTATCTTAAATTGTCTATTTAAGTTAACCACCTCTTAAGTAATTTCCTTAGCAACGCCATAGCAACGCACTTAAACTTTTATACACCATACTTTTACCTTAATTTCATCCAAAATAGTGTTACACTTGCAATGCATAAGCTTGAACAACTTCTTGATGCGTTTTTCAATGCCTTGGTACATCAAGTACGACAATATTCTTCAGTTCAGTCAGTTCTTGAGATTTTATTAGGTTAGTTTAATTAGTAAAAATGGGAAAAGCTTGTCGAGTTAAGAAATGTACACAAACTCATAAAAAAAGGAAAAGGTTTATGGGAAATGTTCAAAATTCTGTTAATACTGTTATTGTATCTGATAGTACTAATATCGAATTACCGACAATAAATCCAAGTGCCCCTAACATCACTTGTGTTACTGAACCAATTTTTGAAAATCCACCTAATTTATCAGCTTCAGCTCATAAAATCGAAAACTTAAAAGATAAAATTATTTCAAAACCTGCCATATCTGGTTATCTTATAATTTATGTTGCTGTTTTAATGTCTATTTTAAGTTCTGTTTTGTGTCCAGAGTGTGGTTGTTCAACAATCTCACTAAGAGAGAGAGAGATACTCAACGACGTTGTTTATCATCCTTACTATATCTTAAGTGTATGAAAAGAGCTTGTAACCATTTTCAAAAGTTCTACACTTCTAACTATGACAAATATAAAAGGATTTGATATCAATAAACAAGTAATTTATTGTATGCAATTATTGGGTCATGGATATGCAGGCATCAAAAAATTTTGTACCATTATGAATCTACCTAAGCCAATGACCAAAAACAATTTTGAAAAACTGATAAAAGTAATTTCAAAATCTGTTAAAAATGTAGCAGAACGAACAATGTTAAATGCTGCTAATAAATTGCAAAATACAGCTTTGAAAGTAACCAATATTTGTTTATCTTGCGATGGAACATGGCAAAAACGAGGATACTCATCACTCAACGGAGTCTTTTCTGCCATCTCTACTGCTAGTGGCAAAATTTTAAATGTTGAAATCATGTCCAGATATTGTAAAGGTTGTAATTTAACTCAAAGCCTCCAAAAATCTGATCCAACTGGTGTTGGCATCACTATTTCATGTTGCTTCCTCAAAAAATAATAGCTTACATTTCCTACACTGCCTCACTGGTGCGAATACAATGCCAATAAAATAAATAAGACATCAACCTATAAGCCGGAACCGGGTTTACCAATGGATGTCATAATGAAAGTAAGAACTATA